TTTAGGGACTAGGCCCAAGAGAAAGAGGGAAATGTTGGCTCACAGGCTCTTCCTAGCATTAATTCCTTGAAGGCTAAGAAGGAGGGAATCATATAAGACTCAGTTTGGGGGCACCTGGGTGGCTCAGTTGGTTGAGCATCTGACTTTGGCTCAGGTTATGATCTCAAGCCCCACGTTCTTTGAGTTTGTCAAGCCCCATGTCAGGCTCTGCGCTGACAGCTCAGAGCCTGGAGCCTGCTTCAGACGCTGTCTCCCTCTCTCTCTGCCCCTCTCCACTCATACTCTGTCTCTCTCCCCAAAATAAAAATAAGTATAAAAAAATAATAAGAAAAATAAGACTCAGTTTGGAGTTCTAAAATTTAGACTCATGCTACATTATGAGATGATATCCTTTTTTAACTTTTCGTCCCCTTGTACCTAAATCTTGTTTGAAATTTCCTTTTTTTGGGAGGGGGAGTTCTCCTTGGTTATAATTGCTCAGCAATTTTATTGAAATAGAAAAGAAGAATCTTTTGGATCTTCGTTTGGAATCATCAGCATATTTTGGTCACAGTAGGTGCTCAATAAATATTTATTGAATGAGTTAAAGGAGGTCATTTGCTATTCCCAGCTTCTTAATCCAGGATTTTCTTTTTGTTAATGCAAGCTTGTTAAATAATGCAAGTTGTGTCTGATCAGAGTTCCCACTATTTCCACAGTTTATTAAGATAGAATTTTAAAGGTAACAGCAGGTCACGGACTTTAGAACAATAAACATCTCAACATTGGCCTTAGTGTTCTTCAGTCTTCATGGTCTAAGGACCTTTTTGGATTCCATCATTATACCCAGTAGCTTCATAGCCAGTTTTCAGACACTGAAATCCTCTGGTCACAGTCCTATCCCAAGTCAGTGGTTTCGAAGTTGTTGAACAGTGAGAGTGGGAAGGAAGGAGAAAAGACAAGTGGATAGACAAGTGGATACTGTAGGAAGTATCAGGGTGTTTTCAGCTTGCACTGTAATGAGGAAGCTGCTTTTCCACAGGGTACTACCCCTCGGGGAACAGAATAGAACCCTTTCCCTTACAAGTGTGGGACAGAATGCAGAACAGGAAAATCTCAAAAAAAGAGAAGTTATCTCAATAGTAAGTAATGATCAACAGACATGTTATAGAGCATACTGACAGGAGAGTGAGGCCACTCTACTGATCTATTTCATGGATGCTCTGTAATCGAGCAAGTGCAAAGGCAGAAGCTAAGAATAAAGACTCTAATGCGAGAATGCTGGCACAATCCTGGGACACTCCGAAAATATCAGCAAAATTGGGAGGATTCAAGAATATGTGAAATCTGGACTTCTCCATAATAGAGAAATTTTCTTTTAAAACCATACTCATTTAAAAAATTTCAGCAGTTCCTTTTGAGGGGTCATTGTTAATATCAGAATTTCTTGTACATAATTATGTTTAACTTACCTTTATGGTAAAGGGTGTACTTCTCATTCAGTAGTACAGATTCAGATATTCTCTTTCCATTCATTCAGTAAATAAAGTTTGAATACCCACTCTGCATTAGGCCTGTTCTAAGTGCTGGGAATATAGCAGGGAACCAAACATAGTCCTTGCCCTCCTGGATCTTACCTTCTGGCCGACAGAGAAATAATTACATATATCAGATGGTTGTACTACTATAGAGAATCATAAAATGAGGCAAGGGTTGGAGAGAGTGTAGCTGACGTTGGGGGGGTGGGGGTTGCAATTTTATTGGGAGATCAAAGGACATTTGAGCTAAGTCCAGAACAAAGTGAGGGAGCCAGGCTGATGGCTCTCTGGGGAAATAGCTTTTGCAGGTATAGGGACCGGCAAGTGCAACGCCTTATGGTGGGAGCGAGCTTGATACAATGAGTGAGGAGGAGAGGAGTCAGGATGGAGGTGAGAGAGAGAGCAGGGGCCCGAACACATGGGACCTTGCTGGTCATGGTTTTATTCTGAGTCAAACAGGAGCCGATGGAAGATTTTGAACTGGGGAGTTACATGATCTCGCTTGGGTTTTAGGCTTTAGAAGCATCACTCTGATTGTTGTGTTGAGATTAAATCATAAGGGAGCAAGAGGAGAAGCAGGGAGACCAGTTAGGAAGCTACTGCAAAAGTCCTGGCAAGAGAAGTCAGCAACTTAGGACAGGTGGTAGAGAGTGGAGGTGGTGGGAAATGTGTGAATTCTGAATATACAGGGCGACCACAAAGTCTGGAAACATCAATATTATTACTTTACTGTGAATTACACTGTGGCATTGATGAACCATTTATCACCTACCAACCTCATATTACCCAGACTTGGTGGCCACCCTGCATTTAACGGTGAGCTGATGATAAGATGTGAAGTCTGGGCGACAAAGAGGAGTGTCAATGGTGACTCCAAGGTTCATGGCCTGAGAAGTGAGAAGCAAGGATGTGTCATCACTGAGATGGGGGAACAAGCTTGGAAGATCCAAAGTTTGGTTTTGGACATATTAAGTTTGAGATGTCTATGAGAAAGACCAGTGGGGATGTCAAGATAGATATGAGTCTGGAGGTCAGGAGAGGTTAGTGCTGGAGATAAAAACTTGAGAGTTGTTGAGAGAGATGGAATGTATTTAAATTTATGAAACTGGATAAAGCCACCCAGGGAATGAATATTGATAGAGAACAGACCCCTTCAAAGTTGAGAGGTCAGAGAAATGAGAAGGAACCAGCCAAGGAGATGACAAGCAACGAGATCCTAGAAACCAAGTGAAGAAAACTGTTCACTTTTACAAAACTCCAAGTTCAGGGGGGAAAAAAACCACACCAAGTCATAATTGTAAAACCGTGTATTTGGTGAGCTACAGTACTGCACCTAAATTATGGTGCCCCCAAATGGAAGAAAGCAGAGAAGGGCCTCTCACATTATGTCACTTTAATGAAGTTAATTCCACTAGGTAGAGAACACTTTACAGTTTTGCTGAGCCTAATCAACTCCCTTTCAAAGACATCCAAAGATCCATTCCAAAAGGAGGAAATGAATGGGTTTGAAAAGGAAAAACTGGGATCCAACCTTTTCAAACTGCAACAGGTATACTTGTGACTGAGAATGTCAATGGAGGGACGCCTGGCTGGCTCAGTCGGTGGAGCATGTGGCTCTTGATCTCAGGATTGTGAGTTCGAGCCCCACATTGGGTGTAGAGATTACTTGAAAATAATATTAAAAAAAAAAAAAAGAGGGGCGCCTGGGTGGCTAGGTCAGTAGCCATCTGACTTCAGCTCTGGTCATGATCTCGCAGCTCGTGAGTTCGAGCCCCACATTGGGCTCTGTGCTGACAGCTCAGAGCCTGGATGGAGACTGCTTCGGATTCTGTGTCTCCCTCTCTCTGCTCCTCCCTCACTCATACTGTCTCTCTCTCTCAAAAATAAATAAACATTAAAAAAAAAAAAAAAAAGAATGTCAATAGAGCTCAACATCAAAGACCAAAAATTGGTCCTTGGGGTAGAGGAAAGGGCATAGATTGGACACTGAAAATTTGGGTCAAGTTCCAGCCAAACAGCTTGCTAGTTGAATATCTCTGGGCAATTTGTGTAACCTATTTGTTCCTTCAAACTCAGCTCAAGTTCACCTCTTCCAGGAAGACTTCTCTAATTATGTAGATTTAGACAAATCCTCTTTTTTACTCCCCAAACATTTTTATCACAGCAACTTATTATAATTGCTAATTTATTTTTGTCTTTTTAATTAGACTATTACTTCTTTGTATTCCCGTAGCTCAACATCGTGCCTGGCCCTTAGCAGGTGCTCAATAATGTAGAATGAATGCATGTTCCCCAAACTCAACTTCATTTGTAAAATGGAATAATTATATCTACTTTTCAGAGTTCCTTTGAAGTTTACATAAGATATGTCTAGAAAAAAAATCTTCATAAACTATCGCTCACTATATAAAATACTTGCTGTTTGTCCCCCACTGTTTTATAGAATAACAGTTTAGCATGGCATTCAAGGCCCTGAACAATCTCTTTCTAGGCTACCTTTTTAATTTCCCCCTGGCTACTATCCTCACTCCTCTAAATGATAGCCAGCTAAGCAGTGTTATAAACACACCAGCTTCTTTCATATCTCCTGCCATTTTAGATTATAATTACCTACCTACGTGTCAGTACTGATCATGAGATCTGTTAAAATAATAATTATGATTGAAGTCGTAGGAGCTAAAAACAAAGTTACTTCCATCTGTGAAGAATTTTGCTATTGTCTAAGTCTATTCCCTCCATCCTGGTGGAATATTGGCATAGTCTTTGAAAACATGGGCTTGATTATATTTTCAATGCCTACCAGGTAGGATCACCTGGCAGTGTGGACAAGGTCTTTCATGACCTGACTTTCCACTGCCATTTCATCTACCTTTGCTGTTCCACAAATAGCCTTTGAGAAGCCACAGGAACTGCAGTACTTGCGGTCTGACCAAGATAATAGGCTCTCTCAGCTTTCAAGTCTTTACACATGATGTGTCCTTTGCCTCTAATGGGCTCCTCCACTTTGTCTATCCAGTGAACTCCCTGTCATCCTTTAAGATTCTGATGTAAAGCTTTCCGTGAAACCTGCCCTTAAATACGCCTTGGCAGAATTAGACGCTCTCTCCTCTCTTATTACCAGATACATACCTGTCACAATCCTCTGTGACGGTGCCTGTCACCTCCACTAGTCTGTAAACTCAGGCAGCATTGGACTCATTCTTTCTCTCTGGGTCCTTACGTCCTTACAGCTTAGCGGGATCCCTGGCACGCAGTGGGCGCTCCGTGAAGATCGGGTGAATATTTCAACGACTGCGCGTCAGCGGTACACGAAGCCCTCACTGGAGGCACTCTGTCACTGCCCATCACACACACTGCTCTTTTCATCCCTGGAAAACTACCATTATTACACTCCTTTGAAGTGGAGATCAGCTGCGGGTGCCGGATCCAGTCAGTTAAAATACATCGGTAACACAAATTGTAAAAACTTCTCTTTGAAAGGAGGAATAGGGCAGCATCATAGCCCCGTGGGTTGTTAAATGCAGACATTTGCCTTCATCCCACTTGATAGCCCCAAGTTGGATCATTTTAACCCCTCCCGTCCCTTTTGCTGGACGCCCTGGGAGCAGCGGGCACCACACCTCCCACAAGCCGGAAGTGAGGGGCCGGAAGTGAGGAAGCGGAAGTGGGGAAAGGCATGGGCGCTGGCGCCCGGCCGCAGGAGGCGATCAGCCTGGGAACGAGGGGCTTGAATTTGAGCAGAAAAAGGCCCCGACGCTGGTGGCTGGATCCTCCCCTCAGGTAGTAGATTCTTGTTTGTGGGTGCAGGCGGGCATGGAGGGGCTGCTCCCTGCCTCCTGTCCCAGGCCGGTGCCGTCGCTGTGCGGGTGTGGGCGTGGGCGTGGGCGCTAGGGGGCCGAGGCCACCATGCTTTGCGTGAGGGAAGGCTCCCCCGCTGTGTGACGCCATCATGTCACGCCTTCCTTCTAGAAGCTTCTGTGTGGCCCAGCCTTCCCCTCCAAGTAAACTGCGTGCTCTCCGACGGCAGTCGGTGGGCTGGTTCAGCCGTGTGACCCCATGTGACTTAGGGCCTGCGTTGCACGCAGTGGTCGTTCTGAAGTGGTTGTTGAATGAATGAAGAAATGGATGCCAAGGAAAGACCCCGTCTACAGGAAGTTGATTCTCTCTCAGCCTTCACCCTTCATGTTCAGAATTCTTTCTGGAGCATCTCATTTCTTCTTCTCGACAGTTCTTTCTGTGTGGTGATTATTCTTTATGCTGCAGATGAGGGAACAGGGGCTCAGAGAAGTTGTTGAGCCTTAATTAGGGAATGGCAGAGCAGGACCTCAAATCCAGGCCTTTGGAATCCTAATTAACGAGATGAGGTATGTGAGGTGTGAGTACATTGTGAGCATTCGAAAAAGAGTAGCCCTTTATTCCAGGAGGGGTCTGTGTCTTGTGCATCTTCCCCCCCGTTTCTTAGAATGGAGTCTGCTACGTGGTAAACTAGAAAGCTAACAGTTGATTGAATTAATGAACACACAGGAGGGCTCCAAAAAGTTGGTTTCTCTGCCTCTTGCTGCATTCTTCCCATCAAAACGGTAACACCTCTTAATGCCATCTCGGTATTCTGTGTAGTCACTCACCCATGACAGTCTTGTCCAGAACTTTTTTTTTTCTCCTGGGTAAACTTAAGTCCAAAGGCAGAAGCTATAGCACTCTCTTCGTAGCACTACCCTAAATGCATCTTTCCAGATGCCGCTTGCGCTCAGCCTCTTCGATGCTGCCCTGGTTATTGTCCTAGGTCGTCGGGTATAGTCCTTTTCGGCTTCTCAATCCCTTGTTCTTGATTCTGACATCCAAAGAGTTTTGAAGACCAGTTTTTCCCTCAATTCATTTGGCCGCAAGACCTGAATTGAAGCGAGCCATTTGCCTTTATTTCTTCCAAATATGAACAAGTTTTTGCAGTCATGTTAATGTTTGTTTGTTCCGAGCGCCCCCCCCCCCCCCACCTTATCATGTGACTTATGGTAGAGGCACCGCATTACCCTTCAAAAGTCTGAGAAAAAACCTTGGGTTTGAATTCCATAATGTCCCTTGATAGCTTACATGATTTCCTGTTGTGATTAAGGTAAAGTTGGGGGAGGAAACAGCGTTTGCCAAAGCATTGTGGAAGTGGGTAACTCTAAAAAGAGAACCGAGAGACTTTTTCTACCTCATCCTGTTGTTTATTTTGGAATTATTTAAGGGAAAAAGCCCCTTAACCAGACACTGGTTTTTGCATGTTGGGATCATGTTTTAGATTTCTTATGTCATCCACAAAGCAGTACCAATGGTAGATACTCAAGAAATACTTACTGATTAATTTGAAAAGATTTGCTCCACACTCTAGGATTTTACTCGACAATTACAGGACTTTAATATATTTTTCTTTTTTTTTTTTTAATTTTTTTTTCCCAACGTTTTTATTTATTTTTGGGACAGAGAGAGACAGAGCGTGAACGGGGGAGGGGCAGAGAGAGAGGGAGACACAGAATCGGAAACAGGCTCCAGGCTCTGAGCCATCAGCCCAGAGCCCGATGCAGGGCTCGAACTCACGGACCGCGAGATCGTGACCTGGCTGAAGTCGGACGCTTAGCCGACTGCGCCACCCAGGCGCCCCTTTAATATATTTTTCTAAATATCATGTTTATAATCCAAAACTGTGGAACCAATGCAGGTTTATCCCAAAGCAGAGTCACTCAGTCATTTGGGCATTCACTCAACACCTGTTTCTCGAGTATCTACTATGTTCTAGGTACCTGTTGGGCAATAGGATTATACTGCCTTGTACATAAGATGGTCATGGTCCCTGCCGTCACGGAGAGCTTCTAGTCTGGTGGTGAAGAAAGCAAATGACAAGTGCACAAGTACAGATCGTGGTAAGTGCCATGAAGGAAATGAACCTGGTGGAGAAAGAGTCTCTGGGAAGATCTAAGTAGTTAGTGTGCTTGCTGAAGGCCTCCCGGAGGAGGTGACCCAGCTTTGTGACATAGAGTATCTTTCTTCCCTCCGTTTCTAAGTATTCTAGGGGTTAGGGTAGCCAGACAACCAAAATTCAGGTGTGTAAATTTACCCTCTCAGGCATCACTTCTGTCTCAGATGTCATATCACCGTAATTACTATCTCAAGTCTCTGATGGTGTGAGTAAACTGAACATTTGCATGTAGTCCGGTGTCTAAAACACATAAAACCAACATACAATTTACAACTAACACCAACTGAACTTGTTAATCTGAAAAGAAACCAATGGCAGAATGGTGTCTTACATATTCTCTGGTCGTGTCATAAAGTATTAATGCATTAGTAAAATGATAGTAATTCACCTAGCCAGACTTTTTTCTTCGGGGTTTTACTAATGGTGGGGAATGTATTTAATTTCAGTATAATGTCAAGCACATCCATTTTAAACTGCCCTATTGGATTGAAGTTAATTATTTAGATACTTTCCTGGGGCAGAAAATTTATTTAAGAAAGCATTTTTCAAATGCAGTTTAGAGAATATAGGAAAACCTCAAAAATTAGGATTTTCTTCCTCCAAAATATAGATAGGTAGCTAGCCAAAAAAAAGGAAAAACGAGCGTGTTTGATGACTGTTGTTCATCAGCAGGTTATGATTCTAACAGGTTTTTTTTTTTTTTTAATAGACTTGTGAGGAAACAGATCAATATTTGTTGCTCTAAGCCAGTGTCACAGTGCATCTCTGCATTGACTGAGCTTTGGTAGAAGGGAAAAAAAGGACAATAGAAAAAGAAAGCCCTCATGGTTGAAAATTTTAATAGCTTATTGAAACACATTATAAATCTGGTTTTTGCTGCAGGAATGAGTCAGATAAAAATGCCTGTGTTTGAAGTGCAAACGAGAGAAAATCAGAAAATTGTAAAAACACACAACTTATTGTTTTCTTCCTAGGGTTGATGATGGTCAATTAAATGTTAATATTGGAGAAATGTTAATTAAACTGATACATTTTCTATCTTGCTTATTTGAGGATGTGTTGTACTTTTACCAAAAAAAAAAAAAAAAAAAAAAAGTTGATTATCCCCTTCTCTTACTTTTTGAAAAAGAAGGGATAACTCATTTAGTTTGCTTCTGAAAATTTATGTCTTCCTTAAATACACACACAGAAATTGATCAAACCTGAGCTGGGAGTTGTGAAGGTCCAGGAAGAAAAACAACACTGAAAACAAGACAAACTTGTTATGGATTTTAATGTTTTTCTTTTGTGTGTGTGCCGTTTCTCTAGTAAAATCTGATTATAGATCGTTGAGGCTTCACTGGCTCTGGATGCTTGTCAGGGCTCGAAATCAATTTAGTACATGATCTCGGCGGCCATCGGTGGTGGATCACCAGGGAAAATGCAAAGCAACTGACCCACCTTAATGCAAAGCAATGACAAAGGAGGAAGGGAATGGTTTCATGTGAGCTGTGAATTGATCAGAAGCATCATTTAAGGTTTTGGGGCTGCAGATCTCAAAACCTTAAAACCGTTTAAGGTTTTAGCGTATTTTGTGTCAACCTCAGTGGGCACGCTTTGTGCGCCCTTGTTCTGGGATCTGACAGATCCCACTGATAATCACTCCAGGTTTTAGGGAAGTTGTTACCCCATTTGAATTACACTATTGACATTGTTTAGTCCTAAACACATACTTCCTTTACTGAAGCCCAGTAAAGAAAGTAATTTAACCTTTTCCTTGACCTTATTAACCTTACACATTGGTTGAGGGTACCCTGAGTTAGATGTGGAGTCTGCGGAGGTGCAACTCCTTGCGTTAATAGTCCACAACCCTCCCTACTTTCAGATTAACAAGAAAGCAGAACATATTTAGATCTGATTCTAGTGACTTGTAGTTCTAAGAAGAATACAACCACGGGGTCACTTGATGACGCTAAGACTCAGTCGTTAACCGTCTTAATTACCTTCTGGACACACTATTTTATACAAGACAAGTTTTAAGCATGAGATGTCAGAGCACAAGTTCCATTTTCTTTGTTTTTAATGTTTATTTATTTTTGAGAGAGAGAGCGAGCGAGCAGGGAACAGGCAGAGAGAGAGGGAGACACAGAATCCCAAGCAGGCTCCAGGCTCTGAGCTGTCAGCACAGAGCCCCACGCGGGGCTCGAACCCACGAACTGTGAGATCACAACCTGAGCCGAAGCCAGATGCTTCACCGACTGAGCCACCCAAGTGCCCCCCAAGTTCCATTTTCTGAAACCGACTTGCCCACTTCCATGTAATGCTTTAAGATAATTTTATTTCTGGCCAAAGAGGTTGAGTGATTGAGTGAAAATTTTCTGCAGAAACGTTTAGGACTAAAAACACCACCTATATTTCTTCACATAATATGGGCCAATCCCTCGTGAGAGATTTTCCCATACAGCTCCTAGGAGAATTTTATATAGTGCCCTCAATTCTGGCTCCTGTAAGTGAGGGGCTGATTTCTAAGTAAAACTAGATTTCTCACACTGACTTGGTCTTCTGTAGACTTCTCAGAAAAGCTTTCACTTACCTATTTTTTGTGCTTTGCTTTGCAGGAAATTGATGCCTCGTCAAAATGGAGATTAATTATTTGTGTTTGGGAGCAGCAGAACGGGGGGCCAGTTACCTCTCAATTTTATAAACCAATTATATGAACTCCTTTTCCGTTGCTCACACCCCCATCCCACCTTCAAACTTCTTACCGATGGCATTCAGGAGGCAAGTGAAAAACTTCATGAAGAATTACTCAGATGCCGAAATAAAAGTCAGGGAAGCAACTTCCAATGACCCTTGGGGTCCTTCGAGTTCTCTCATGTTAGATATCAGTGACCTGACTTTCAACACAATTTCTCTGTCAGAGATTATGAATATGCTATGGCAGAGACTCGGTGACCATGGGAAGAGCTGGCGTCATGTGTATAAATCCCTTATGCTCATGGATTATCTCATCAAGAATGGATCAAAGAAAGTTATCCAGCATTGCAGAGAGGGGTTCTGTAAACTTCAGACACTAAAAGATTTTCAACACGTAGACGAAGCTGGAAAAGACCAAGGTAAAAGCAATGTGTATGGTGTGCCACTAAAGATTAGACATTTGGGAAGGGATTGTTTTGAAGCAGGAGCTGGGGGAAACTTATTCTCAAATGTATCAGCTCCCTTTCTCTGGGACAGTTACAGTTTCCGGAAGACTTTGTGTTGACTCTTCAGTGCCTGAGAGAGCAATTTTCTTTCAAAGGAATGTGTAAAACTAACACACGTAAGGTTCCCGATAGAACGATAGCTCGTAGAAGATGAACAAAGTGAATAAGACAGGAAGCATGGCAGCTTGGTGTAATAAGGTCACTGTAATTCACAATTATAATTGGACTGGAATTTAGTCATAAATGTAAGGAAGCGTTTCCACAGACTCCAGAATCCTCAAAGACTATCTAGATGGAAGTATAGGAATACAAAAATTTAGGTCATAAAATAATTTTGTCGGGGGTGGAGGAGGAGGTGAAGTAGGGAACAGTTATGGGGAATACCAAACGGAGATGACTTGGAAACGTCTGGTATTCTGTAATGCTAAAAAAACCAAGCATTTCCTCCCCATCTAATGTAAAATTATAATTAGCATTTAAAGTGAATAGTCTTATGAATCATGAGAAAAGGATACAATTCAGTGCAGTCTTTGTGTGAAGCATACATTTTTAGAATAGACCTTTTTTAAGAGCAGCTTGAGATTTAGAGCAAAGATTTACAGATTTACACAGAAAGTACAGAGTTCCCACATACCCTTCGCCATCCGCACACAGTGCCTCTCCAGTTAACATCTCACATTAGTGTGGTACATTTGTAACAATTGACTAATAACCAGTATTAACACGTTCGCTAAAGTCCTTTGTTGACCTTAGGGTTCACTCTTGGTATTCTGTTCTGTGGGCTTTGAAAAACGCACGTCGTGTATCTACCACTCCAGGATCATAATAGTTTCACTGCCTTGAAAATGTCCTGTGTTTGGGGCGCCTGGGTGGCGCAGTCAGTTAAGCGTCCGACTTCAGCCAGGTCGCGATCTCGTGGTCCGTGAGTTCGAGCCCCGTGTCAGGCTCTGGGCTGATGGCTCGGAGCCTGGAGCCTGTTTCCGATTCAGTGTCTCCCTCTCTCTCTGCCTCTCCCCCGTTCATGCTCTGTCTCTCTCTGTCCCCAAAATAAATAAACGTTAAAAAATTAAAAAAAAAAAAAAAGAAAATGTCCTGTGTTCTACCTGTTCCTCCTTTCTCCCCTGCCTGGAACCCTTGGTAGCCACTGATCTTTTTATTGTCTTTATTAGTTTTGCCTTTTCCAGAATATTATGTAATTGGAATCATATACGATGTAGCTTTTTCAGACTCCTTTCTTTACTTGACAGTCTGCATTTAAGATTCTCCCATGTCCTTTTTATAGCCTGAGAGCTCGTTTCTTTTTCTTTTTTTCTTCGCATTTTAAAAATCAGCTTTATTGCAATATAATTCACGTGTCAGACAATTCACCCATCTACAGTCTACAATCCTTTGGTTTTAGGTATATTGTTAACTTTTAAAAATTGGGATAAAATGTAAATAACCAAATTTGTCATTTTAAGCATGCAATTCCGTGACATTAATTACATTCACAGTGTGGCACAACCATTACCACTGTCTACTTCCAAAACTTTCATCACCCCAGGCAGAAACTCCATTAACTGTGGGGCACTTGAGTGGCTCAGTTGGTTGAGCGTCTGACTCTTGGTTTTGGCTCAGGTCGCGATCTCACAGTTTGTGAATTCAAGCCCTGTGCTGGGCTCCATGCTGACAGTGTGGAACCTGCTTGAAAGTCCCTCTCTCTCTCTCTCTCTCTCTCTGTCCCTCCCGTGCTCACTTTCTCTTTCAACATAAATAAGTAAACTTAAAAAAAAAAAAAAAGCACCTCCATAATCATTGGGCAATAAAGCTCTCCTGCTAATCTCTAATCCTCCTTCTATCTCTATAAATTCACCTCTTCGGGGTACCTCATGGAAGTGAATCATATAGTATTTGCCTTTTGTTTTTGGCTCATTTCACATACTTGATGTGAACTTCATTCTTTTTGTAGCTGAATAACATTCCATTGTGTAAACATACCACATTTTGTTTATTCATCTGATGGTGGATTCTTGGGTTGTTTTCACATTTTGGCTCTTGTGAATTGGGCTGCAATGAACAAAAGCCTGCAAGTGTCAGTTTGAGCCTCTGCTTTCAGTTCCGTTGGGTGTATACTTGGGAGTGGAGTTGCTGGGTCGTATGGCAATTCAATGTTCAGCTTTTGAGGAACCAGTAACTGCTTTTCCTTAGCAGCCGCGCCATTTTACATTCTTACCAGCAATGTAAGAGGGTTCCTGTTTTTCTGTATCCTTGACAACACTTGTTCTCGTCCATCTTTTCGATTAGAGCCATCCTACTGGATGTGAAAAGTAGTATCTCGCTGTGGTTTCAATTTACGTTTCCCCAAAGACTAATGATGTTGAGCATCTTTCTATGCCATTGTTGGCCATTTATATATCTTCTTTGAAGAAATGGCTGTACAAATCCTTTGTCCATTTTTAATTGTTGGGTTTTTTTTTTTTCTTTTTATGTGTCGAGTTTTTTATATTCTGGATACAAGACCTCTATCTTGTGACTTGCAAATATCTTCTTCCATTCTTAGGTTGTCTTTTTTACTTGCTCGATTCAATTTTGATGAAGTCCAGTTTGTCTGTTTTCCTTTGGTGCTTGTGCTTTAAGTGTCGCATGTAAGAAATCATTGCTTAATCTAAGGTCATGAAGATTCACACCTATGTTTTTTTCTAAGAGTTTCAATGTTTTAGCTCTTCCATTTAGATCTTGGATCTAAATTTTTGCGTATGGCGTGAAGTTGAGTTCCAGTCTCATTCTTTTGCGTGTAGATATCCAGTTGTCCCACTACTACCTGCTGAAAAGACTATTCCTTCCCCCATTGAATTATACTGGCACCCTTATAAAAAATCAGTTGACCATAGATGTAAGGTTTTATTTCTGTACCCTCAATTAAAAAAAAAAAGTTTATTTATTTATTTTGAGAAAGAGAGAGCATGAGCGGGAGAGAGGCAGAGAGAGAGAGAGAGGGAGAGAGAATCCCAAGCAGGCTCTGTGCTGTCAGTGTGGAACCCGATGTGGGGCTTGATCTCATGAACCATGAGATCATGACCTGAGCCAAGACCAAGAGGCAGTTGCTTAACTGACTAAGCCACCCAGGCACCTCCTATTCTCTCAATTCTGTTCTACTGATCTATATGTTTATATGCCAGTGCCACACTATTTTGATTACTGTAGCTATGTAGTAAATTCTGAAATAAAGGTGAGTCCTCCAGCTTTGTTCTTTTTCAGTAATTGTTGTGACCTTTCTGGGTCCTTTGCATTTCCCTATCAAGTTTAGCATTAGCTTGTTAATTTCTGTAAAAAAAAAAAAGGCAGCTAGAATTTTTATCAAGATTGCACTGAACCTGTAGATCAATTTTGAGAATATTGCCATCTTAACAAACATCAGTTCCTCAATCCACAAACACCAGATATCTTCCCTTTAATTTAAGGTCTTCTTTCTTTTTAAAAAAAATTTTTAACGTGTATTCATTTTTGAGAGACAGAGAGAGAGTGCAAGCGGGGGAAGGGCAGAGAGAGAGAGGGAGACGCAGAATTGGAAGCAGGCTCCAGGCTCTGAACTCTCAGCACAGAGCCCGATGCGGGGCTTGAACTCACTGACTGCGAGATCATGATCTGAGCTGAAGTCAGTTGCCCAACCGACTGAGCCACCAGGCGCCCCACACCTTCTTTCATAAATCTTTTGTAGTTTTCAGTGCACAAGGCTTTCATTTCTTTTGGTAAAGATAGTCATAAGTATTTTATTCTCTTTGGTGCTATTCTCTATGGGATTATTTTCTTCATTCCATTTTTAGATTACTCGTTGCTAATGTATTGAAATACAACTGTTCGAGTTATTTTTGTATATTGCTCTTGTATCCTGCTACTTTGCTGAACTTGTTTATTAGCTGTAATAGTTTTTGGTTTTTTTTTTTAAAGATTCCTAAGGATTTCCTACACGCAATATCATGTCATCTGCACATAGAGATAGTTTTACTTTTCCTTTCCGATGCGGATGCATCTTTATTCTTTTTCTTGCTTAATTGCCCTGGCTAAAACCTCCTGTACAACATTGAATAGAAATGGTGAGAATCAGTTTCATTCCTGATCTTGAGAGGAAAGCTTTCAGTCTTTCACCATTAAGTATGATGTTAGGTGTGGGTTTTCATAGATGCTTTTTATCAGAAGGTTGATGGAGTTGTTTTGTTTTGTCTTTTAATGTTTAGTTTGAGAGCGAGCGCACGCGTGCAGGCAGGGGAGAGCCCAGAGGGAGGGGGATAGAAGCCCTGGGCTGACAGCAGAGAGCCCGAGGCTGAGGCCAAGGCAGGGCTCGAACTCACAAACCGAACCGGTGAGGTCATGACCTGAGCCAAGGCTTAACTGAGCCACCCACGTGCCCTGCTGGAGTTCTATTGTTAGTTTATTGAATGTTTTTATAAGGAAAGGCTGTTGACTTTTGTCAAATGCTTTTTCTGCAGCTACTGAGATGATTATGTGTTTTTTCTCCTTTATTCTGTTGATACGGTGTATTGCATCGATTGATTTCCATATGGGCACCAACCTTGCATTCCTAGTATAAATCCCACTCAGTCATGGTGTGTATCCTCTTTATTTTTGAAGTGTTTACTTAAGGTCCGGTGTGACGTTTAATGATGATATTGGAGAACATCTTCTTGGTTTTTGATCATGCTAGGCTTCTTAATCTCAAAATTGTGAAGGCATCAACTTCTATGAGCATTAAATTAATCATTAAAAATTAAAATAAAATACTGGTTAAAGGTTTGCATCCCCAAGAATTAAGTTTTAAAAAGGCCTAATATTTTGGATAACAGTGAATGGAATGTAATCATTTTTGTACTTTACGGAGCAGCTATTTTATCACTGTGCTGAGCACTATGATGATTTTTTTTTTTTTTTAAGTGGAA